GTTAATCCTTATTCGCTGAGAAACACTGAGAACAAACGAGCTGTTCCTAAGCCCCGCACAAACTATCTCAAGAATAGCTTTAGCTATAGTGGTGCGGTGCTGTGGAACAATCTTCCGATTGGGCTACGGCAAGCAAATAACTTGATAAATTTCCGATCGGGCTGTGCCAAATTATTTTAACTTTCTTTGTATATATTGTTATATTAGCTTAGTACACGGCCCTCATGAAAAGCAGGTATTATATTTTCTATTTAGCGTGGTTCTACTTTTGTATTTATCTAATTTAGTTTGTTGCATGTTAAATCCTGATGAGAATACCGTGTGTAAATAAAGTTTTAATAATAATAATAATAATAATAATAATCGTCTCACGGTGAGCGTACGTGAAATATTTGCCGAGATGTAAAGGCCTATTTTCGCTAAGATGCGCGCGACGAGCGACATGTGCAGCACGACAGGAAATTGGGATGGGCTCAGTCAAAAATTTTCGCACGCTTTCTGTTTGCTTGACTATGACTTCTTTGTAACAAAATAAAGTTCGCACTGCAAGTGATCTTGATTATGCTCGAGTGATCCAACATATGTTATTTTCGGGCCTATTGCCGACTATATCTGTTAATAAATTAGTAGTTTCGCCTCATTGCACACGCCAGCATGTACAATATATACGCATGTGGGATCAAAGCGAAACCTTCGACAGCAAGTCAGAACACTCGTGGACTTCTTATTCTGTGTTCCTATAGTAGAGTCTGCATGTAATACACCTATATGCCTCTCGTTGAATTTTCGATCGTATGCCACTTTATAAGTTAGGATTATTAGAGAACATTTGTTCGACGGTGTAGTAAACAGTTCGAGGGCATGTTTTACAATTAGCTGGGGCAAAATTAGACTCACGTCAATTAACTAAAAGACATTCGTTCGACAGCGTAATAGACCGTTAATAATATCACAGACATTTGTTCGATTTTTTGACATATTTACAAAATAATACATCTCTTCTTTGCATGGTAAATAATGCCGTTAAAAGCATTTTTCTGATGCGTTGTAAAATTTTTGAAAAGAAATTATCTCGCAAAAGCCCCTACATTCCTATATGGGTATAAATTAATCTCGTAAAATTTCAGACCGTTTTAATTCATAAAGCGCTGAGCCTAGTGACTCATATTTCAATCATATTTCAATGCACAATACCTCAAAATCATTCCTTCTTTGAAAGTTCTATGTCGTCCCTGAAAAGTGAGTTACATAAAAGCAGTCCCTAACATACCTGCAGCAGTGGTGATACAAGCAGGAGAACTACATGTCCCAGATGACGAATCTGCAGATTTCGTTTTCTCCACAACGTACAGCGCAATGAAGGATACAGACAGAATAAGCAGCAGTAGAAACAATACGAAGAAAACCAAGAGCACTTTGGATGGCTTCCGAATTTCAATCTCTCCTAGCCGGCCAAAAGGAAAGCTCGCCATATCAGTTATTTCTTAGGACACGCTGAAGTTCTCAAATATATCTATGAACATGTGCATGTGAGGACACAAGGATTTCGATATGGTTTCGATTTCCCAATTCCTGGAATCGCACTGCACTGCTGTCCCGACAGGAAGGCCAAATTTCAACATGGATTTCCGGTGCAATTTCCATATTAACATCCTCGATCTGCATGATTCAACACTCGGAAACAAACCAAAAGAAAGCTTGCCATATCTGTTTATTTTTTAAATATTCGCGGCTTAACGCGCTTAACCTTTCAACCCATGGCAGTGTATGTGCATGGAAAAAGATTGGTTTCGAATTCTCAATTCCCAACTGACAAGCACGACAAAAAATTGGATTTTGCAGCATATATATATATATATATATATATATATATATATATATATATATATATATATATATATATATATATATATATATATAACCTTATTAACGTGAAACAGCGTTTAACAGCGGAACAGTAAAACCCGGAACGCCGAAAAATCTGAAAAGAAAACCCGGAATGCCACTCATGAGCTTTCTTGAGTTTCATGAGGATACAAATACAAAGCGTTACAAAGCTATGGTGTATATTTCCCGCCAAAATTAGAGCTGCCAATTTCAACATACAACCTACTACATTATTACACTGGCCTGTAGGCCAAGTGTATTAATTCCCTCTTTTTTCTTTTTCGGCGTGAAAACGAGTTTGCGTTAGGTCATCGCAGGCTCAGGGTGCAACGTGCTCCAGTGACATATTCAGTTCAGTTTCAAAATGGCGGCTTTTCACTGAGCGATCTTACTAATATATATTTCACACAGTTTCGTTGAATTTTCAAAGAATTGTGCCGGTTTCCTATGGATTTTACGCTGTGTCGCACTCTGGCCTTTCTTGCGTGTTGAATTAGTGTGTTTTTCTTTGTGTAACGACTCGAAAACCCCAAAATTTGGAGCCAGCGAATTTATACAATATAGTGGAACATAAACAAGGACAAGTTAAAGGTTTGACAGTTTGACTTTTTAACTAACAAGTATAAATATTGTGCTCTTGTATTTATTTGCATAATTATAAATTTGCACCTAATTACATTAATTTGCGCCAAATTACTTTCTAATTCATCATATATTACTATAACATGTAACACCGCGGAAAAACGTCTGCGCATGCGTCAACCTTACCTGTAATAGTATTGCGAACTTGATGAGAAGCTGTTCCGAACGTTTCCGAAGGCTCAAAACGGCGGTAAAAAGGAGTGACTTCATTGTGCGTCTTTACAGCCAGATTTCGAGCTCAAAAATAAACATGTCATTCTAAAAACTAGGAATAAATACAGCCAGAAGGTTCAAGAAATTGTATTGTACAAGAACATGAACTAAAGGTGATTGTTGACAAATGTATCGTCTGAAACATTTTGTTTATCAACTAAGCAACGACAATTTCCGAATTTTCGTTTGAGATACATTTCTTTAAAAAAAACTGTGTCGCCAAATATAAAAAATTTTCCGTGTTCACAATAATTAAACTTTAGGATTTATTCTACAATTTGAGTGGATTAAGGAGCTTAACTTTTCGAGAGTTTTCTTAACTTTTCAGTTTGAATTTTTTACATGAATTATATTGCATTCCACACTTTAAATGCCAGGACGCTTTCAATTAATGTCTAATCTACCCATTTGCTATATTTTCTCGTTTGTTTTACTAACTTTTGACCAATTAATAAGCATGTTTTTGTTTTAGAAATTGATATTCAAATTCCCCGCCATATTTTCATAATTTGGTGCATGCGCAGACGTTTTTCTGCGGTGTTATAACATGTATGTTTTCGATTGTATTCAGCGATGTGGCTTTGCGTGCGGCGAAGTGAAACGTAATACGGTTCGATTTGGTTTTGGAACAAGATCCAACTTCCCCCCTCCCCCCTTACTTTTTGTGGTAAGCTTTTTAAGTAAGCTTTTTTCTCAGTAAAATAGCATCCTCAAATGCTGTCTGTGTGCTTCAATTAACCCACTATGCCGCATTGGTTTAGGCATTTTAATAGTTGTCAAGGGGAGAGCTTGCAATATGTCTCAAACTCATACTTCACAAATATGCACCCAAATTCACTCTACTTTAGTACTTTGTTGTTTTAATCTGTGTTACACTATGCCGCATTGGTTCAGTGTGCAATGTTTCTTTTACTTTTGTCGTCGCTTTTGTCTTTGTGTATATACTAGTTTGTCGTGGTTTACTGGTTTTTGTCTTTATAAATATAATTGTGTATAAAATTATGCCAGATTGACAAGGTGAGAGCTTTCAAATATGAATATATCTTGTTAAACTGCTACAGTGCACTATGTATAAACGCCAGACGATTAACCAAACAATCTGCTAATATTTCTTGTTATCCGGCACTAAGTTACAATATATGCAAACAATTATGCCTCAGATGATTTTACTCGATAACACTAGACAATTTTACTTGTAGAGCCAGTTGTACAAATCAGGATTAGTGCTAACCCTGGGTTAAAAGTCAATTACCCAAGTGCTATTTTGGTTTGTCTATTTCTGTACGCCTGTGTCTAATGCCAGACGATTTTACTTGTCAACGGAAAAGTGTGGATGTTACAGTGCGTCTACAGTAAGTGGGGCCACTTAGAGAACAATAACCAATCGCATTGCAGAACAAAAAGAAAAATCTAATCAAACTAAAGCTCGTCCAATCAAAAGAAAGATTCAGGAAGCCATTAACTGCAGTGTTTACTTTTTAAGTCTATTTTTACCGTTTGACATTCGTTTATTTGTTCAAATTGGTTTTGGCCTAATGCTGATTGGCTAATGCGCTGTTTGTTGATTTTTTCAATTTTTGTTCTGCAATGTGATTGGTTAGAGTTCTCTAAGTGGTCCCACTTACTGTAGACGCACTGTAATGGGTTAGGTATGGTAATCAAGATTCAGCTGAAGGGTTTCTTATAGTTGGTCGAGTCGTTGCAATATATGCCGAAAGCACCCTACTTTTGTTCTTTTATTTTGTATGATGGCAGATGATTTTACTCAATAACACTTACCTAGACAATTTTACTTCTGCAGCCAGGTGTTCAAAGCAGGATTAGCACTAACCTTTGGTTAAAATTCAATTACCCACTATTTTGGCAGTGGCAAACACTAGGGAAGCGAAGGGCACCCCTCCCCCCCCCCAAATATTTTCTCTAAGCCTTTGAATAATAGCTGATTAACTGTGTAACAAAACTGTATCAATGATTTTACTATCATAAAATCCTTGATAGGCTATAGTAAGTGCATGATATTTAAGCCAAAAGGGTTCTGAGAATTAAGATTTGCGGCAACAAATGGGTGGTATATTTTGGTAACCTAAGCCTCAAGCTCCTAACCCCCAATATCGTGTGAAGTGTCTGCCAAAGTACTTATACAGTACATGTATTTTCTCTGTAATTTTTAGATTTTGCAAACTGTTCTATTGTGAAGAGTTGCCGACACTCCGGAACCAACGTGTTTACACTGAACACAGTACAATACAATATGATTTATTAGTTAATCCCCATAAGGGCTTTTCATAACTAATTTACAAAGAAGTGTAGTAATATGATATTTACATGCAATTATTTAGAACTTATGTTAAAAAGATAGATTGTCTGTAGCTAAACTAGAATTACTGTATATTACGAGGACTATTAAAAATTAATTCTGTCTATTGATTAACTCTGTTCGTACGGCCTTCTTAAATCCTCCTAGAGTTGAAATGTTTCGAGTCGAAAGATCAAATGAGTTCCACAGCAGTGCTGCATGATTAAAAAAGGATCGCTTAGCTTTAGATGTTCTACATCGTAATATGTTTAAGTCATTTGTCTGCCTAGTAAAGTGATTATGAACTTGCGAACGGATTACTAGCTTCGAACTAAGGTAGGCAGGTGCAAGACCATGAACTATTTTATACATCATAATAGCATTACGGTACAATAGAGAGTCGTTAACTGACAACCATCCCAGCTTATCTAAAGCCGGGGTGATGTGATCATACGTTCTAGTTCCGGTTACGATTCGTGCTGCAAAGTTCTGTACTTGTTGTAGTTTCTTAACGTTCTTTTGGGTGGTGCCAGACCAAACCGTGGAGCAATAATAAAGTTTGCTAAATACTATGCAGTTTATCATGACCAACAAGGCATTCTTGTTGAACAAGTGTCGAACTCTGTTGATTTGACACAGACTTGATGTTAGGGTCGACGTCAATGAATTGATATGATCGTCAAATGTCAGAGTGGCATCTAAAGTGAGACCAAGGTCTTTACAAACTGTGACAGGTGTTAATATTTTTCCTAGAAAAGGAATTGATAAGTTTGGCAGGTTCTTTATCGATTTCTCCATTCCAAATATCATAAACTCTGTCTTCAAGGGATTTATTAGAAGCTTATTAGAACAACACCATTCTGCTATATTTCTAAGATCTTGGGAAAGGCTTAACAGGCCAAGGTTTGCTTCTGATAAGGAAAATGATATAAACGTCTTTGTGTCGTCAACATATGATTCTACGTCACAATTCGAAACAACTTTGGGTAAATCGTTCATGTATATTGTAAACAGCAGTGGACCCAAGATGGAGCCTTGTGGGACTCCATGTTTCACCAATAAAGGACTTGATGTAGATTGACCAATGCGTGTGACTTGATATCTATCGGATAGATAACTCTGAAACCAATCAACGCTAGAGGAAGAAGCGCCTACATTTTGGAGCTTTTGGAGTAGTCTTTCAAGGCAAATGCTATCAAAGGCTTTACTCAGGTCTATTAAAAACTCTTTCTCGACAGGTCCCAATTGAACAAATCACTCATGATTTATCATTTTTGCGGTTCATATCTTCAGTTCGGTAAATGCTACGTGGACCAAAATACCACCATTCGATTCAGTGTAACGATAGCTACTCATTCCTATCGATAGATTTAGTGAATGGCAACATTATAGCGATTTATGAGCTTTGAAATTCAAACGAGCTCGTATATGATCAAATTACGCAATATTACTGACAAATTATAAACATAAACATACCTTTCGCCGAATATAACTTCGTCCCATTGAGACGTACGCTCATTCTGATAATCTTGCTGTATGAAGCAGTTAAAAATAACACGTATAGTGTTATTTTCAAGCTTCTTAACTTTAAAGTTCGACATTTAGTGCCGAATTTTGTATTTCTGCTCCGAATATGCGTTAATCCCAACCGGAAATACGACGAAAAAGTATCGCGTGACTCTGGAAATGCCAGAAATGGATTCTACAGATCAAAGTGCATCCATACGCGTGAGTTTGACGTCATCCCGGCTAAAGGGAGCTCCTTATTGGCCAAGTATTACGTAATACAAGTGCGTGCGAGTAAAACCCGATACTTGAAAAATTCAAAATAAATATTTCTACTCGCCGTATTCATACGAAACTTTCTACACGAAAGCGCTTGAATACAAAGAGTATTTTACACATATATCCTTTCAGAAAATGACACCAAAGTTTAGAATATATTCAACTTTTTCTTTTTTTCTCGTTTGAATGTTTGGCGAAGCGGTGAGTATAAATATATGATTGTTTCGGTTTGTGTAATGTTTTGACGGCACTTGACCCCCCGTTCGAAAGGTTATATTGTGAGGATTTCAATGGTGGCATTTATTTAAAAGGGGGGTAAATACTCGCCGAAATATTTATATTAGAAAAATTGAATCGAAATGTAATACGAAACCGGCCTGTCGAGAAAGAGATATTATTAATTAATTTTTCTCAACAACTAAACGCGAGAAATCGACAAAAATATGAAATTAAATATTCCGTAAGTATACCTAATAGATAAGTAGGCCTAACAGAAATTTTGGTTGTCAATGTCCTTTAAATATTTTTTATATGTATGTGTGTATTACGATTTTCAAGAAACGCGACTAAAATTTTGTTTTTCTTAGGTGCCATGATGACCTTTTATGTTTACCTTGGCAAAGAGTTTCGTTTCCTGAAAATTCTTCATCACAAATGCACAGAAAGGATCCATCAATATTGGTGCAGTTTGAATTTGGGTGGCAGTCGTCAACAGAAAGAGAACATTCATCTATTTCTAAAGATTTATGACAAATAAATTGCATTAAATTGTTACAAACATAATTAATATACTTTCATTGCCTTGCAGTATCATTTATGTTGTCAACGTTTCTTTTTTACTCGATGATTTCGGTCGAATTGACGTTAAATATGGCCATTGGCTATTTACCTTGGCAAAAAGTTCCATTTCCAGTATATCCACTCTCACAAGTGCAGAAAAATGATCCACCAATGTTGCTGCAAGAAGCGTTGGAATGACAATTGTCAATCGACAGGGAACATTCATTGATGTCTAAGGATAAAAAAATTCACGAATGACTTTTTCAGTATAGTAGTAAGCGAATGGCAGATCACAATTTTTCCCAACAGTTTAAAAATAGGAAAAATCATCAATTAGATCAAACCGTTACTTTGATAATATAGAAAATAAAAAAAGGAAAACTTGTATAAACGAATTACAGTCTAAGAATATGCCAAGGAACTACAGTACTCACCATAACAATATACTCCATTTCCGGTATAACCATAGTTACATCTGCAGACAAAACTCCCATCAGTGTTAATACATTGCGAATTACTACCACAGTTGTCCAATCCTCGGGCACATTCATCCACATCTATATTGAGCAATCATACACAGAAACAATTAAGTCTGTAACACTCATTTGAAACATTTTTGAAAATTGCAATAAGTTAACTATTCTACTATACTTCTGACGATGGTTCTATCAAATATTTCTCAGACGATGGTTCTATCATAAAAATTAGTCTAGTCGTAAAATTTTAACACGGGGTTCTTCAGGCTGGAAAAAGTTTATGTTATGAATGGCAGAAAATTCTCGATTCTTGGATTTCTGAAACACTATTTTTAGCATCTTATTTGAAATTATAAAAGTAAGGTTTCGCCATGATTAGGAGAACAAAATGCAATTACTGTAGTATAATTAGTCGGAATACCACCATGAATATAATTAGCATTACTGGTCTCACCAGTAATATTGATTGGAAAAATGAAATAACTTTATTTTAACTGTGAAATAAATAGACTATCCAATTAAATTAGCAAAAAGTTGCTTATTATTGCTTATTATAAATCTGGCTGGCTGGCTATATTATATTTTCTGCCCGAGTGTACTATCAACGTTTATATAGAATTAAAATACTCATTAATAATTCATACACCATGTGGCAAATCATGTTAGCCATGAGCCATGCATAATATGTCACGTGGAGTGACTTTATCTGATAAAGCATGTGGCATTATATAATTGTTCATCCTAATTAGTAAGATTATATAATGGTTCATCCTAATTAGTATTCTTTTGTTATCCTATTTTAAGCTATTCAAAACACTCGTTCGCTTGTTTTTTCAGACATAAAACGCTCGGTTGCGACTCGCGTATTATATCTGATCAAACAGTAAACACTCCTACTCGTGTTTTAAATAGTACTAATGATCTTCTTACTAGTATGCAGGCGGCGCTTGAGTATCCACATTTCATTCGAATGGTTAAAAACAATACTATAAAATATTTTACCTGTTAAAGAACATTCTACTCCTGCGTCCTGATAATGGTTGCAATAAGTATTTCCCCAACCATTATGAGAGCAACTGATTAAATTTTCTTCTTTTCCAGTACATCTGACATAATTTAACCATATTTGTCCAGTACCATCAGGAACTTGGTATCCCCGAAGAGCTCTAAGAGCGTTCTTATAACCAAGTTGACGACAAACAACGTTAGCATCATTTATATCCCAACTATAATGACAGATTGTTCCCCATCGTCCATTATAGAGTATTTCCACACGACCAGTTCCATTTGAACTTGATGGTCCTCGCAACCTGACAGACACACCTGTAAATATTTAACATCAATTATTTTTCACCCTGCTCGGTTTCCTTTGTTCTTGTCGGGGAATATATTATTCAATATTCCCCTCTAATCAATTTCCGTTTTCCAATCAATTTCCGTTTAATAATCCCCTCTAACATTCACCTGCAATTAATAATCCCCTCTAACATTCACCTGCAATAGTTTTTGCAGCACAAAAAATGCATGAGAAACAACAACATCGCGAAGGCAATATGGCATTAAGAATTATTTCTTTTCTGAATAATCCCCTCTAACATTCACCTGCAATGTCTTTGCAGCACAAAAAATGCATGAGAAACAACAACATCGCGAAGGCAATATGGCATTAAGAATTATTTCTTTTCTGACTCGTTAACGCGACCTCGCAGTGTGAAAAATAAGTACGTTATTTTGAGGCACCTCGGGGATATGTGTTTATTCACCTCGGCGCTGCGCGCCTCGGTGAATAAATCACATATCCCCTCGTTGCCTCAAAATAACCTATACTTAGAACACTAAGAACAGGTAGAAAGTGGGATTGAGATAACCATGATATCCCCTCTTGCCCAGCGAACTCCCGGTAAACGCATGCCTGTAGTTGGTTATACCTAATTAATTTTGTCAAGAGTAACTTCTATCATCGAATTTATATGCACGTCGAAAAATGCGTCCCACAAGGTGATCGTCTAAGCCCACTGTTTTTTAATCTGCTGGTCAAACCTTTGTTCAGTATATTATTAAAAATGAGTTATTATTTAGTTAGTACATAATATCAAAGGGCTCGAGGTTTAACAAGATAGAATACTCGTATTCCGAATACTTATGCCCGAAACAGGGGTATCAGCTTGGCAACGACGCGGCAGGTATAACGGGACAAATGGACGAAAATCAGATCTTGTTAAATGCTTATATATAATTCAGAGTTGGCAAACGTAAGACATTCGGTATATATAGAGAAACTAAATTCTGCAGCTAAGCAAACATTTCCGAAAGTTTTTGTTAATACAGAGCCAATATCAGCAGTTGATAATATGGATAACATGCAGTGCTCATAAGCAGGAATTTCTGGAAATTGTGGAAAATATTCTCAAGAAGATAGACCTGTTGCCATTACACTCCAAATACAAATTGGAACTCAATCTATTTACTTTATCGAAACTTTCGTGGCATTTAACTATCGCCGACATTGAAAAGACCTGGATAAAAGAACATTTAGACAACCTGTGTCATAATAAATTACGTATAGATGGCTAGAGATTAATTCCTTCCAGTGGTACTCTTGACATAGTTTGCTATAAGGCGAAAACAAAGTTTGGCTTGAATTTTATTGATGTTTTCATTTTGGTGTCTATATTGATGTTTTGGAATTAAGAATATAATAAAGACAATGCTGCACGTAAACACGATCGTGCATGGTCTATGCTCTCAACTAAAAAATCAATATGATGACAAATCGAGTAAAGTGTGTTAGCATTTCGGTTGGAGTTTTGGGATTTCTAGGAAAGAGCATGCAGTCGTTCATTCATGATTCAACGACTTGTTATTAGATAAACAAGAAAACTACTAATAATCTAATTGCTAAAATAGGTGCATGTTGCATTAGAACAACTTATTATATACAGGGTGCATAAAAAAAAACTGAACAGATTTGAAATTGCTCTCAATTTCGCTAAACACCTACTTGTATCCGTTTTTTTATATATATAGCTTTTTTGGGTACTTATAATGTAGAATAATGAAAAAAATTTCTTGAACTCAAATTTTGTGAACCAGGGGTGTGTGTCTTTTCGAAAAAAATTAAGAATGCCTCGCGCACAAAATTTAAAAGTTGTAATCGTATTTTGAGTTAATAGATGGAAAATTTGTCGGGTTTTTAAATACTGTACAAAATTTCGGACAATTTGCTTTAGTTTAAGCCCTTTTACTATTCACGCAAATTTACGTTTTTCCTAAAAATCAGCTATTTGCATGCTTAATTAATGCCTTAGCCTAATTTGCATATGTTAGCAATATGCAAATTAGGTAAAGGCATAAATTAAGCATGCGAAAGGCTGATTTTTTAGAATAAAATGAATAGTTAAAGGGCTTAAACTAAATCAAATTGTCTGAAATTTTGCACAGTAATTAAGAACCCAACAACGTTTCCATCTATTAACTTAAAATACGATTACAGCTTTTAAATTTTGTGCGCGAGTCATTTTTAGTTTGTTGGAAAAGACACACCCCCCTGATTCACAAAATTTGATTTTGAGATTTTTTTCTTCATTATTCTACATTATAAGTACCCAAAGAAGCTATATATATAAAAAAGCGGATACAAATAGGTGTTTTGCGAAATTGAGAGCAATTTCAAATCTGTTCAGTTTTTTTTATACACCCTGTATATTCTCCATAAAGGACAAGAACTGGACGGAACCTAGCCTGTGTGACAGGCTCAATGGATAAATGAGAGCCTGCAACAATCCCAAGGAAATTTGATCACCGCCCACTAATTACTATGATAATTTATTTCCAATTCAACCAATCATATTCTTTGAAATTCGTGTCCGTAATGCAGTGTGAGTAAATAACTAATATACTTATTACTGCTGTAGCCATATGGAGCAGTGATATAGCGTAGCTCGAGAATTCAAACTTTTAAAAAATTGGCAGTTTAAATTACTTTTGGAATAAATAAAACATAATTTTACACCGGCGATGTTGGTTTGGTACATATGTAGTATGTGAAACATTTTGACGTGATAAACAGTTTAAACGCCGTTACTCAACACTGACTATTTTTACGTATTAATAATGAACGGAACTCAAAAATATATTTATATCAAAAGGAAGACAATACCATCTTAGGTCCAAACATTACAATAAATTTCAAAATCATACAACATAGAATTATGGGCGAATATATGTTTCAAAATTGCAACGGCTGAACAGTATAAACGAATACAAATTGACAATAACAAACTCCAGTTTACTCAAACTATATCACATTACAAGCTACTGTAAATTGCACTGTAGTTTATAGTCTGCTGTAAAACTGTATTTTAAAATAAATAATATAAAAGCAACGTTTGTAGATCCAGAAGTAAGTTTCATAAATACATAAAGCGACATGTATTCCAAACTTCAATAGGATACATAATTTGTCAATCAATATTTCAAATTGATCGTGTATAGCTACTGCATTATTTAGATACCAAGATGCATGTGCATGGGTTTGTATCCATGCTCTTCGACTTGTCAAGGCAGATATCTAATGAGACTGGAAAACCTGCCAAAACATCTCAACAATTTGCGGCTGTTCAGTACGTTTTTAGTTTAAAACCCAAATTCACTGTACTCTTTCAAAAATATACGCTTTTATTGAAAGCGTATAAACATTGTGCCACAGACGGTTCTATATAATTTATGCGTATTTTGGCATATATTATTATTTTAGCAAATATGATTTTTGAGTCCGCTCACGACCCCGAAATACCAAATTTCCTTGAGAATGTTGCAGGCCCATATTCGTGGCAGGCTAGACGGAACCTAACTTATTAACAATAGTTAACGCTACTGTCTCGGTTTACCTCAGCTTAATTAACAATTAGGTTTGGTCTATCGGCCAATCTGAGCTCCCGAAAAACATTTACAACTTTACCATTATTTTTATTATTATTACGTATATTTGTTTTTATTTGATACAAAAGATCAGAGGCAATAGATTGCTGAGAATCGTAAAACCCATGGTAAGTTTGCTTTTAAAATTGACGTATTTGTTTGTTTTAAAAAACTGATGTTGCGTATAATAAAAAGACAATGCATTCAAGTGTATTGTTTTCATACTTTGCCCTTTTCATCAATTTAGGTTAAAATCTTTAAATAAAGAGGAAAGCAAAGTTATCGTTTTGAAACTCAAATTGTATAAAAGGCTGTTTAGTTAAAGAACTTTTTAAAATGTTTTGCGAAGCGTATATGTGGCTCAATTTTACATTAAATTGAAGTTTATATCACGCCTCTATCGCATGTATATTTGAGAATAGAAGTGATAATTTTAGGCTGTTTAGTTTAGTTTTGAAATTCAAAATGGATGTATTTCCAATCAAATCAAGGTTTGGAAAATATAGGCGAGGGGTTGTAGCTATACCTGTGCGCGTTTTAGAAGGAGTTACTATTTTTAGACATTTGTAATTTTGTATTCTTTTGTATATTTTAAATTTAATCCTAACCCTTACTCGAATCCTCATCCTAATCTTAATCCTAACCTTAACCCTCTCACTAATTCAAACCCGAATCCTAACCCAAAGTATAAAAATAACTACACGATTGATTGCTTGCTTTAAAAAACAGATTTTGCTTTTCATAATAGTGCATTATTTATATAATTACCCTCTATATTATGTTTGAAAAATATAGTGGTTTTGCTTGCAAGGTGATGGAGTTTCTGATGCATGTATTTTTTGTACCATTTTTTTATGACATCAACATATTGTTGTTAGGGACTACAATCTCGTTTTTAATTAAATTTGTTGTAAATAGATTCTACTTGTACGTAATTTCTTCTTTCATAGTCCTTTATCACTAGAATACTAAAACTATAGAGGCCTTGCTATAAAAGCACAACAGAATTTTCAAAGGTCCTTAAAGGCGGATTTCCAGCCCTCGCACGAAGCTCCTCGCAGCTCGCTGCGAGAACTCGCAGACGTTCTGCGAGTGTTTTGCCGCTTGCAGGGAATTGAATAGTTCAAAATTTTGAACTATTTTTTACTCGCTGCGAGAGATCGCAATATTAAACCAATCATAAAACGGCATACAGTCACATGATAATTTGTTTTCAAAATGGCGGCTAGATGGAGTGATGAAAATATAGAAATTGTAATAATTTTTATTGGACTTCTAAATTAGTGGCTTTACCAAATTGTTTAAATAATCCGGCAAATTGGTTTGGTAACATCCTGAAATAATTGAAGTAGCCTTCGTGGTCTTCCTCCTGTAATTCTTTAAAAGTCTTAACTAGTGTAAAAAAT